TTAAAGTTAAGTAGTACTACGTAGTAATTAATTTAATTAGTTAGTTAGTAGGTAAGAAAGGTTAAGGTTTAGTAAGTTATTAACGTAACGTAGTAAAGTAAAAAAAATAAAAAAAAAAAAAAAAAAAAAAAAAAAAAAAAAATACTAAAAAACAATATTTTCAAAATGCAAAAGAATAAAAATGAAACGGGATTGCCTCTGAACTACCATTAAGCTACAGAGGCTACAACTTGAAGTGACATCAGCCACATACACTAAAACTGTAATTTCAGCTAATTTAACATTCATTATTATGAATCCTTAAAAAACATCAGCTAATTCATCTTTAAAAATTCTAACACAGAATTCCCTAACTTTTTCAATATTTCTAAAACATATGTGTCCTTGTTCCTATTTCATAATCAGATTATTTTCTTTACCTCCAGCAATAGATCCAAGGAAAAATCTGTACAAGCTTTCTAGAATCTGAATTCCTATACTTCTGTCTGCAGCACTCTAAGCCAAAAGAAAATAAGGAACAGTTTTGTTAGTTATCAATGTATAGATAAGAAAACAATAACATATGAATAAGTTAGTCAGTACAAATTCTCTTGCAAAACAATACAAATTGACCATACAGTTACTTGTAACTGTAAATAATTAAAGATTGAAAATGCTCAAAAAAACAAAAATGATCCTTGAAAAATTAATTCAAGCATAAATACCCTTTATACTTGCACAAAAACAACAGGCATTCCATTTTATTTAGATATAGCTGAAATTTTATGTTATGGCAACAAAAACGTTTAGTTATAATTATTAGAATAGAGGGCTATTGCACTTCATCAGAAGCACAGGAGCATTTATAAAATGCTTGTTCACCCAATTTACTCAAGCCAGTTACAAACATAACACTCCTAAGAAAGTTCTATGAAAAAACATAAGGTATCCTAATACCAGATGGTATTACACCTTCTATCCCATCAATTTTGATTACTATAAATCTTGTTGATGCTGCTTATCCACACACACACACACACACACACACACACACACAAACTACTCTCTTTGACAATGTTTTATAGAACTAATAATAGAAAGCCTATATTTCTTCATTTTCTTTTGAAAATTCATTTTCAAACACAAATTATTTGTATCTAAATCAGTGTTTCCTAAAGTGGGAGCCATGGCCTACCTGGGACGTGAATCGTTTTCTGGTGGGCCACCAAAAAAATGGTCCGAAAATAAAGATGCTGAATTAGTTTTAATTCTAAATAAACAATAAGCAAAGAAAAATTATGTACAATTAGCTAAATGATAAGGTATATCGAAAGGAGATGTTATCGTTTTTACTACGGTACTGTTTTACAATCACCATGCTAAAGTAGTGGGGGAGGGGAGGGACATTTGAAAAATCACATTTTAAGGCATTTTAATAGATTGAGGGGGGGGGCTTCAGACTTTTTATTCACATCAAAGGAGCTTCAGACTAAAAGAGTTTGGGAACCACTGATCTAAATGATCCTTTTGCTTTTTGTTTTTCTTTCCGTCTTCATCTACCACAGTCATACTGACCAATCAGAAATTAGGTCCCTCTTTTTTCAAGTCTTCAAATGCACATATGCTCCAGTTTTGCTTTCTCTAGATAAGCTTCAGTTCCATTACTTAATGTTAAACACATCTGACCTTGTAGATTTTAACACATATTTATATAATCAGCTGTTTGCTAGACTGAGCTGTAGTTGCACTGATAAGTTGAATTATGAAGATCTAATTATTATTCATTTCTAATCAAAGCAAGATACCTACATTGATCAAAACTCAAAACCAATACTGAAAAAAAATAAAACTGAATTAATATAATGTTCTTATATTCTTATTTAAAATGATTAGAATACACTTTCATCAGTCGGACATACTCACTGTTAGCAGTATTCTGGCACTGTTATTATTATTGATAATTCATACAGTTATACATTTATTACATATTTTATATTAACTATGCTATGAATATTATTATTATTAGGCAATAGCTTCTTTTGACAATATTAGTGCTGTCATTCTATATTTCAGTGTATCACAATGCAGGACTGATTTTTTGTTTTAGTGAATGAAAAATTCAAAAACAATTAAACATGAAATTAAAAGTTAAATAATTCTCTTTTAAAAAAGTAAGTTCAATGTTTGATTGAATAGATCTTGAACCCTTTCTTTTTCAGGAGTTTAGGGCAAAATTTCCAACTCAATGTTAATAACGGTCTGTCTAATTTGTTAAAATATTCAAGCTACTGAGTTTTTTTTTATTTTTTTTTTTTATCGTGTTTATAATTTTTGCATTATCCATGTGCATTCCAAACACCATAAGTATATAAAATGGTGTTAAAGCAGCTTGCTGTAATTCTCACATACATAACAAATGAACCAATTTAAATAGTACACTTTGGGAAGGGTTTTAGCCCTTTCACATCGGGTAGGTCAGAGTGTGCATTTCACAACCTTTTATAGTCATATTCAAAAATTAATTAACCTACTTTATTAACAATGTATACAAATAAATTTGGCAATAAACAGTTGTTAACAAATCAAGTTTTAATATTATAAAAGTTTTAAAACCTTTATTTTATAAGGTAATATTTTCAAAAATTCTCAATTTTCCCTAGTATGAAAATTGTGACAGTTGCTCTCTAGTTCTTCAGTCTTCCCCAATTTATTTACCACCACTCCAAGAAGTACAGAATTTAACATCAATGGCTTATTATAATATTGTTCTTAGTCAGGCAAAGCATACTTTTTCTAGCATTCAAATTGTATTTGGTTACAGATCCATAACCTAGATAATTGTACCCCTCTTGCCATGCCCATCTTTCACATCCTTTGTATCACAAATTGCCAAAAGTTCTCTCCAACATTTAATATTATATTATTTATAACCAACAGAAAGTAAAAGTTTTAATCTATCAAATAATGTATTATGCTGTACTGTTTTCTGTACAGAGAAATGTGTCTATTTATCATCCAATTCAAATTTTATTCCCACAGGAAGCACATCAACGAGCTTAGCTGAATGTTTAACAGCTCTTATTGGATAACTAGAAAGCTAGAATAATTATGACAGTTATAGGACTTTGTCCATTTTTTTTTTTACATGTTATTATTCTGCATTCCTAGGTGCAGTATTTAATTAATAAAAAAATTATTTAGTGTGGTAGTACTATTAGTATAAAAAGTAGGCTTAAGTTTCATTGACAGTCAATAGCAATGAAAAAGAAAACCCAGGTATGTACTATATTTCTTGTTTTTTGCATGTATTCTTTATTTATTATTATAAAAGTAACTAAAATGTAAAAATTAAAAACTTGTTAGATTATATAATATTAGATTAGGCAAGATAAATAACAATAATGATAAAAATTCTTCACGAGGTATGCTCTCAAGTAGCTCGTGCCTTAAGTAATTCGATAGGGTAACATGAGCTACACATTTACAGAGTGATTTACGACTTGTGTGGCAAGTTTATTAGTTAGACATGGTTCAAAAGGCAATAAAACAATAAAATTAAGTATAAATATACTGTTTCAAGCTTTAAGCTATTTAGGATAAACAATTGTGGCTTTCTGTTACAGTATGTAGTCATTCCAGAAGGAAGAATGGGTAATTTACAATTATTTCCTAATTTGTTTATGGTGGTTACAAGGTTGGTCAAGTTGATGGACCCTTTAGAGAGTTACATTATAAAAAATAACACATAAAAGTTTTTGAAAAAAAAAGATATTTATTTAGGAGATTTTTAGGGATTACGCAAGTTTGAAACTTTTCAGATTAAGAAAAGTATTTTTGATATTAACATGAAAATCACTTTGCATTCAGAACATATAATTATGGATAAAATTTTAGTAAAAATACTTAATTAAAAATTCTGATTTTCTATCTACAAAAGACTTGTAATGTTAACTAAACGCTTGAAAACTTCGTGAAGATACTGTGACTGAAAGTTGTTACACAGATGTGTAAAATACATTATCCCATATACGTCTTTATTTTCAAGATCCTCATTAGTTCTTTTACAAAATATACTTTTCAGTTCCTTATTATTATGGAAGGTTCACATACCTGTCATTTTAAATACTGCCACGTTTATGTATCTATTTATTAATATGAAATTACTGTATATGTAACAAGTCAAATAATTCAAGCAATATTCTAAGCCTTTTCTTCATGTGGGTTTTAATAATGACATATCGTATATAACAAATAACAGTTGGAGATGGCTTGAATTGGTAATGAAGAAAAACTTTAATATAAGTTTAACATAACAGCAAATGTACAATGTTTCGACAAGGTTTTGTCATCATTTGTACATTTGCTGTTAAACTTATATTGAAGTTTTTCTTAGTTAACCATTTAAGCCGTCTCCAACCATTATTAGTCTCAAAGTGGGTTCCTCGTCATTGTATATAACAAATGTTTAAAATAAATGCTGATTTCACAATTTCCAAATTAACATAATAATGGTCTTAAAACCCAAACCTATACTGCCTTATCTTTCATAGCTGTGTTTGCTTCATAGTTTAAATACAATTTATTTAAAAAGATTAATCATATGTACTTTTAAAAGTTGCTCATTTTGGCACTTATGCTAAAAGAAAGGCAACAAGGGGAAGGAAGGACTACATCTTCCTATACCCTGTCTTTATATTTACATTTCCTTAACCCATTAACTGCGGCAGGAGCAGTTCAGTTGCCATTTTCCGACTCACAGATAAAACTGAGTTGCCATCAATCACAATAAAATGGTAATTTTCATCAATCACATAGAGTTATAGTTACATCTCTGTCATTCGCAGCTGAGCAATAAAACTTCAATGACGGAAATATCAGTCATCTGCAGTTAATGGGTTAACATGTTAAATTGTATTGAACTCCCAAAATACCATTTTGTTCATTATATTGCCCCCCCCCCCCTTTATTATTTATCCTAGACTTAGTAGTGATTTGTAGTAAACATATCACTCTTTCGATCAGTTAGGTAAATTTTTTTGGCTTTATCAACTTTAGGGTTGTTGTAAGATTTTCATTGCTTTACCGACTACTGAATTTATTTATATAACACAAAAACATTTATCTCTTCCTCCCGTTATCTATCTAACTCAGAAAAAACTGTTTGAAAGTTGTTTTCTAAACTGTACAAATTTCATACATCTTTGGTTGAAACAATGACAGATCATACCTGTAATAGAAATAGATGATAAAAGGTGCTAATAAAATTATTTACTTACTTCAACAGCTTTCACTTCTGCAAAGGGTCTGGACAAAAGTTTTGCAAACCTCCGAGGAGCAATTTTTTCTAGGTCATGGTAAACTACTCTCCTATAAAAAAAAGTGACATGAACAATCTTAATTTTACACTACACACAATAATCCCACATATATTTATCCTAATTGTTATTAAATGGATGTACATATGTTATTCCCACCCAAGCTCATAGAAAGTTATTGACCTCAGTCTTATAATAAAATGACAACTTAATAAACTGGAAAATGGGCTTATTTAAAACAACATACAAAACTAGTCACAACATAAAAGAATTATAGTTCAACTTTCAGAGAAAATGACACGTATACTAGTTTCAATATTTTCCAATTCCAAAATAATAATTGAATTACATTATACTATACAGTGTTGGGCACGTTACTGTAGTAAAAGTAGCTCATTAGTCTTTTTTTTTCAGAAAAACAAACAAAGATAATGTTCTTAAACAGTCGTTAATAAAATATTTAGCACATTATATTACTTGCTAAATTTCTTTCTCATCTTGACATGTAGATCAATTGTCAACCAATCATTTTTTTAAACTCAAAATAATAATCTGATTTCACTGTACACACAACACATGCACACAATTAGCCAGATATAAATGAAAGCATGCAAAGAATAAGGGTGTACTTTGCATATGATAGCCTTACAACAGGGACTTTTGTAATGAACACTATGGAGTGTACTAACTTGGCGAGACTCCAAAATCATTTTAATATGAACACTCAACCTCTGTTCGGTAATGAGGATTTACTGACTACCAGTTTTAATCAGCATGATGAAACTAAGACTACAATCGCAATAAAGCTTGTAAGAAAACCACTGTATGAGTTACTTTTTAAATTTGATCTTGTCAACTACTCAGAGGAATTTCATATTTGATACATAATTTAGATATTTTATTTCTTTAGAATTCAGGAACTGAAATTTACTTTGGCTTTAAAAAAGAAAAGAGCACCAATGTAGGTGTACAACAGAGTAGGCAATGACATAAATACAATTCTTTTCTTGCAAAATGTAAGTGTTATATTATTACTTCCATTTAAAATCTAACACATTATAATATCTCATCATTGAGAAAAGTAATATTATTACAGTAATGAGTTGCTATAATATGGTACCCTCAATCCTGGTAATCCTGAACTGAATCCTCCCATGTTTCACCAGTTAGTTTGAAACTGATACTATAATGACAAAAATAATTTTAAAATATAAGGAAACAAGTAGGCAGTGGAAATAGAAATATTTGAATTAGATAGAAAAAAAAAGGCAATATCTAATATTCAAACAACGAACTGTGATGTATATAACAATGACCGAATGTTTGGAAAATTTTGTTTATTGCATTGATTTTTAATTTTTTTTTTTTTTTTATTTAAAGAAACAAACCTAAACAAAATCTTTAAGTTTTTATATTTTGTCTAGTATCTAAAAACAGTATTGAAGTAAAAGCTTTTCATTAAAATGTTAACATATAACAATACTACTTTTGAATACTTGCTCAACTTAATAATTTGTCTTGAACTTTATGTTGGAAACAAGTATAGCTCATGGTTACATACAAATTGTCAAATTACTGCATACTTATACAAGTTCATACCCAGTTCTTTGATGAACAAAGCCTGACAACTGAAAAAGAATCTCTACTTCCATTGGAGTCAGTGCCGAAATTTGCTGAGCAGCATAGAGGAATTCCTCTAAAGAAGAAAAAAAAAAGATAGTCTTCATCTTCCATCTTATACCTACTTTGTTTCACAAATTTTAGGTTATCTTTTACATTATCTGTTCACAGTTGTTTACCAAAGTGAATGATATCTATATTTTTTTGGTATTATACATTGTAAGTTAAGAAATTCCTTTTTTTCCCATCTTGTAAGAATAGACATTATTAACAACCGATATATAAAATCTTTGTAGTTAATGTAAAATTTCAAATTTATATTAAAGTATATACAGATAATTGAGTACATTATATCAAAATAATCTTGAGTACACAATTCGGCAAGTCACATAAAAACCAGTCAATATAAAGTAACAGTGGAACTGCATGTATCAGAACTACATTTTGAGATTGTTTTGCATTATGTAAGTAGTGTGTTGCCACCAAAAAATGATATATTTTTGGTAGGGTATGCAACAGCCCTTTCCCAAGCAAAATATTCATAAAGTCAGATCATAAAGGCATGTTCATATAAGGTATTTAGAATTTTCAAGATAGAAATATTCCTTGTACTGAACTTAATGGTACTGGAAAACAAAGGAATAGCTTTGGGCACCATGACCATCCAGAAAGAGACCTGCAACAAGTAATACCCCAGTTGTGGTAAGCAAAGTACAGCATCTTGTAATGGATGAGAATCCATGAACACAAGGGTCAGTGACAAAAGCCAGCCACATGTCCAGGCAACAGTACACAACATAATCAAGAAGGATCTCTGCCTTGAGAAGCAGCACAAGTCACATGTTCACAAACTGCTTCCACAACATTTAAGTTCAACTGTTGCATACTTCAATAGCCGGAGAATGAAATGGGTATTCCATTCTATAAGAATACACACCCATCAAGTTGATAGATGCAGTGTCTTTGAATTTCTAAATGATTGGACAATTGAAATGCGTACTAGAAAACCGTCACCCTTGTACACTAAATAGATTTTGGAAAACATGCAGAGAGTAAAGGTGTACTTTGGACATGATAGCCTTTTGTAACTATAACTGTGATACACATTTACTGTCAAGATCATAAGATAGAGCATAAATAATGTGCTGACACAAAGTGTAGCAACTTGTTGAGCTTCCAAAATCATTTTAATATAAAATACTCAACCTCTGTTCTGTAATGAGCACTTGTTGACTACCAATTTTAATCAGTGTGATGAAACACATCTTGTCATAAGTGTACAAGTTTCAAAAATTAAAAAAAAAAAAAAAAAAAAAAATAAGTAGTTCTGACAACAGCATAATTGATTAATGTTCTTATAATATGATAGTTTCAGATCTCTTACAGTAAAATAAATTATACATACTCTCAATTACTTTATGTGTTTAAGTAGTTGTTTAGTCTTCAGTTTCTACTGCTCATTTAATTTGAATTTGTCTTTTACTGTTTCTACTTTTTTTTTTTTTTTTTTGTTATTAATGATAAATGTCTTACTGAGCTTTACTTGTAATTGTAAATTTTTTTCCACTTTTCTACACAGTCAAAACAAATTTTGCTAAAACAAAAGACAATCAATATCTGCAGAAAAAAAAAAAAAAAAACTTACATTTCGTTGCTCAACATTTCACATATAGTCTTTTTCATAAAAAGATGCAGCATAAAAGATACAGATAAAATTGAAATACCCTTGAATAAAGAGAAAGAAATGGTATGTCATTTTCATATTAGTAATCATTGTTTAGATGGTATATTAGAACACAATGTTTTTTAAAACGATTAAAGTGAAATATGTTCTAAAAAATATGAAATTATGTTGTTAATCACAAATTAAAAATCCTTTTATCAAAATGAAGTTAGTGTAGTATATAAATCGTAAGGGGATTTTCTGGGATAAGAAGGCTTTATTTATCCATAAAATGTTTTGCTGTGGTATTTGTGCTTGCTAAAGACATTTTCAGTCTTTTACACAATTAGTAAACCTGTCATATATTGGTCTACCTGTTTCTCCAAGTTCTTATAGGATACATTTTCTATTTATGATTGTACAAAAATGCAGTTATTAGTATAATATCCAAGATACATGTAGATCAGTACTTTGCATTTTTGAATCATGAAAATGTTTTAATTAATTAAATGACAATTAGTACACAGATGCTAGCCTGCATTATAATGTAACCAAGCTTAATAATTTTCAATTTGTATAATTCACAGAATTTTTCAATGTTAAAGTCATATGCTACATGAACTGTTATTAAATAATCTACCTTTAGTTACTTCCTGATTCACGTTTCCTTTTGTAAAGTTCAAATAGATTCTCTTCACCAATTCCATGTTGTTTAAGAGACTGTTAAATGCCATGAAATATGGAAATGTCACCACGTGTCCCCCAGTAACCTAGATGTGTTTATGCAAGAACAATTATAAAACTGAAAAAATATCAAATTAAAGGCATATTTTTTAATAACTTCAGCTATTCACTTCTTTCAGAATTATCAATAGTGATCAAGAATTCAGTTCATGCATCTATCTCCATGAGTAAAGTTTTAGATACAGTAAAAAAATGCCACTATATAATTGAATAAATCAGACTGAAAAAACAACAACATTAAAATATATTTTATAGTTGTTCATCAATAAGTATGAAAATAAAACTACTACAGAATTACACATAAAATTAAAAATACCTACAAATAAATAGAACATAATCACAGACTTACTCATCAGACATGGTCTGCATAAAAAAAGTTTACAGCCGTAAATTACATAGGGTTTTATTTGCTTTTGTTTTTTTACATGATTTAACCCTTTTTACAAAACAGGATTTAACTATGCATCCAAACCTAAAACAACCATACCTTATCTTATTTTTCAAAAACAAATTACAATTTCGTATATGAATTATAATTCACTATTCTTTGTAAAAGTTCTAGTAATAATAAAAATAAAATACAAAATGTACCCATGTTGGCTATCAACATCTGTGTGATATTTTGCTAATAGGAGGGTTAAAACTTCATTTGTACTTTTAGTCACTGTGATTAACCAATCCACATAAACATTAATGCTAAGTAAATAACCAACCGTGTTATGTTAATAAATGCATTGGATTTTAATTTGCAATTACTTTACTTTTAGTTAAAATGTTTCTTAAAGATGCTACAATATTACATGTGATTTTCACCATTCGAAATAATACTTTAAAAGCATCTTACATATATATTAGGACAGTATATATGAAGAAAAAAGAAATCTAAATATGAATATAACAAAGAATCAGAATAAGTAGCTTACCACAGATAAATCGTTCATTACAGACCTACCAATCATAAAAAGAAATGGGTTTTTCTCTTTCTTAAAATCATCGATCTAACTTTCTTTTTTCAGTTACAATTTGTTATGTTACAATAAATAGAATATCTGTTTTGGAAGACAGAAGTGCAGTAGGAAATATCCTGAATTGTGTAATAAATCAATAGGTTAGTCATTGTGCCTTGAAGATGGTTATGATTTCTTTCTCTTACTTAAAAATCAACATATTTCATTTTTCCATATCATAAAACTTACAGCAACTAAATTTTGCTTCACACTTTCTGTCAGTAAGTGGCTTTTAACAGATATCATAATATCACTGAAGTCTAAAGAAGTAATAGCACCAATCTTCTTCTTATCGTATCGTCTGAAAGCCTGAACTGCATGTTCTTCATGAAAATCCTATGGAATAGTCATCAATAAAAACTAGATCAGTTAACATATCACTAAAACCTGTAAGTGTAGAATAAATGAGCTTGAAATCTATTAAAATCACACTAAAAAGTGATTCAAAACAAACCCCTTTTCAGTGAAATAAATTATTGTTACTGGTCTTAATGAAATAATTTAATACAAAATACATGTACAAAATACAGATGGTTTATTTGCCTGTTTGACATTGTTACGATATTTATAGCAAAGACTCTAAAGAACTAAACAGTGACTATGCAAAATTTTCATCGAAGGACTGTTAAAAATATGTTAACTTCAGATCAGAGCGAGCTACGTACTTAGAGGAAACCTAAAAATTAACCAGCCAATCATTATAGCTTATCAAATATACATTTTTTATATTTCTACTTGTAAAGAGTTGAATATGATGTTTCATCACTTGGGTACCCCCTTGCTGTTAACAATATTAATGTAGAAATGTATATACCACTTAAATAGAGATAAATTAAGCCTTCATAATATAATAAACATACATGGAGAACTTGAGAAAATTCTGTATAGCTGACTGTACGTTTTCGATCATCACCAAAATGCAATCTCATGAATTCACTTTTGAAGTCAAATGGGATCTTCTGATGCAGTGTAGTGTAGCCAACAATTTCTTCAAATTCATCTGAAAAACAAGGAAACTCCCACTTAATTCAAAACATACGTGTTGTAGCTCCAACAAATGTTTTACTATTCCTAGATTATGGAATCATTGAATTAATAATACTTTCACTCGAACAAATGCAACAATATTTTGTAACAAGTTCCAGTTTTGATTTCTAAAGTTAAGAATTATGAAGGAGTTAAATAGTAGCTATTACATATCTGCAATATAATGTGCAAATTAAGGCTGTACACATTTGCAAGTTAAATCTGTTTGAAGTTCAGTTGTTGGGTGGTAATACAGTTATCAAGAGGACAAAGAAAAACATACTTAATGATAACCAATATCCAATAACAACCAAATACAATGAATGCATGTTTGCTGCAATACTTTATTAATATATATCCATTAAAAAATATTATAGATAATTTAATTGATGGGAGTCAACACAAACAGAGATATCAAGACTAACACAGTATAGGCCGAGGTGAATCACAAAATGTATACTGTCACAGGAAGTCTTGTAAAGTTTGTTTTGAATTTCACGTAAAGCTACACGAGGGCTATCTGCGCTAGCTGTCCCTAATTTAGCAGTGAAAGACTAGAGGGAAAGCAGCTAGTCATCACCACCCACCACAAACTCTTGGGCTACTCTTTTACCAATGAATAGTGGGACTGTCACTGTTATAACACCCCCACAGCTGAAAGGTTGAGCATGTTTGGTGGGACGGGGATTCAAACCTGCGACCCTCATATTCCGAGTTGAGTTCCCTAACCATCTGACAATGGTCTTGTGAAGACCTTGAAAACCAGAAAAAAACAGTTGTAGGAACAGTTAGAAAATCAAACATTTTAAAACAATCAGCATGTTATCGGTTAGCCAACTTCCACGAATTTCAGCCAAAGGCTAATCTGTTTATCATAGTCATATCTCCTGTAATAACTGCATCTACATGGAAAGATGCAGTGGTAAACAAAGAGCAACACACAGTAACTTACATCAAAGGCATGGGGCTTGAAACAGACAAGTGTTTGCATGTTAAAAGTTAACTAGCAAAAGTGTCAGATACATTGGCAAAATAATTCAATTTTGTGTCATTACATATAACTAGTCAGAAGCCATGTATTTTCAGGATGAATTACATTTTGGATTTCATAGTTTTTATTAGTTAACAAATTTCAGAATCATTTGCAAAAATAATACTTCTTCCTCAAATGAAATAAGAAAATAAATATGTCAGAAAAATAAAACTGAAAAAAGTGAGTAAAAGAAATGTGTTTTACTTTATATTTTAAACTTTGGTAGTTCCACTGAAAGATGTGCAACAGGCTACTGGAAAATACTTACTGATTGATTATCATAGTGTGATCTTCAAGCCACGCTCATGCTATTCACTTATTTCAGATTATTACAAGTGATGACTCAGGAATAAAAAACGAAAACAAAAAAGGCTACTTGAGCTTTAAGTAATTTTTACTACCGATCTGTATATTTATAATTGTTCCTGGATTATAAACTACCAAAAACATATCAGCACCACTTAATGGTCACTGGCTAAACACTAGAGCCCACTGGCTATTTGCCAGTTAACCATAACTAAATTTCAGGCACGAGAGGACATTATAATTAAGACCATTTTGCCACTTACACCGATTTAATGGAAGGAGTTATTTTATATCAACCATGAAGAAGAAAGATGAAACATGCAGAACTTGCCAAGGATGTTGGATGCCTTGCTTAGCTTTCGTACTTAGAAGATTCCCGAAAGTATTTCGAACTGTATTAAAGAAGCTTAAGTTTTGCAGAAAAGTTTGGATTATTTGCTAACCTGGACAAAGGCCTTTTAATCTGAATTAAAGTAAGGTTATGCATACAGGTTATCACAACATTAATCATTCTTATACTCTTTCTGAGGAACTTTGGATAAAGTAGATGAGGAAAAAGATCTATTAAAAAGCTTCTAAATCCTTCTCGAACAATGTACATCAGCTAATAATAAGCCAAACAGGATTTTAGGTTGTATAAATAGAAATATCAAGCACAAGTCAAAGAAGGTCATCAATTCACTCTGCAAGGTGCTGATTATACCTCGTTTAGAGTACTGTTTCAACTTTGGTCACTTTGCTTAAGAAAGTATGTTGAGTTGTTAAAGAGAATTCATAGAAAAACTACCAGTATCATTTCAAATTTGTAGAAGTTATCATATCTGGATCAGATGAAATTCCCAACATGCTTTTAATAGATAGGAATAGAGCTTCATGGGCATGATTGAGGTTAAGATTGTTAGAAGCTTGGAATCTAGAAATCCAGATGACATTTATTTGAAGTCAGGTTCCATTTTTCCACAGATCAGTCTTGGTCAACTCAGTAGAGTATGTGTACTCTCTCCAAAGCTTTTTTAATATTTTGATATTTGTCTGAAGATTTTGTAAATTATAAAATTTCCAAATTGAGAAATTTTAGTAATAGTACTAGCTGCATATCGTCTTTGTAACCTTTATTATCTTTGAATTTCCTTTTGAGGATACTACAAAAAATAATTTTAATCTTACTAAGACCAGTATTTATGTGTATTAATTGTAGATGTATTTTTACCTGATAAGCCTGATACCACATGTAGCTTCCTTTGCCTGAAAATATAGTTTCCTGAACTACCTAGATGCACTAATAACAGATATTGAGGCTTCTGAAACTTCAGTGTATCTCACTCTTGGCAGTTTTAGATTGACAAGCAAGAGTTAAAAATGGTCTTTTATTTCTATTGTGTAGCTAAAAATAAACATGGCACTGAAAGGATTGATTATGAATAAGCATGGCAGTGAAAAAGTTAAATTAGTTTAAAGTATATGCTGTACCAGACCAAGAAACCCAAACAATGGCTTGGAAGTTCAGCAATGAATTTTCATCAAAATATCAAATAACCACAGAGCATTATCTTATTAAAGAGAGAGAGAGAGAAAAAAACAACAACAAAAAATGAAAAAATCCTCCATACAGTGCTCAACTAAATGACTATGTATAAGGATAAGAGTAATGGGGGAAACTAACCAACAGATTAAAGCCCAGCATCTCTTATATCTAGTCAGGATCATCTTTTCTACAGTCACCCTAAAGATGATAACAAGGGTAAATTGCCAAACCACAAAAGTTTGTAACTAACGTATCTTACATTTCATTTTGCAAAGAGCAAATATTATAAGCTCAATATTGGTCATTGACCGATATTTAAAGATACAGACTATTAGCTATCTATCAAAGTGAAAAGGATCAAATATGGAATCAGGAGAAGAAGAAGAAAAAAAAGAAAAAAAAAAAAGAAAGAGCCTTGATATGACCCCTAGCAATAAGTTAGAAATAGATTCTTTTAATAATTTAGCCCGGAGAAAGATATTTACAAAAGTTGTGTGTGCAGAAAAGACTTCTAGGGATCAAAGCCCCCAAATCCACATGCCTAGAGTTGGTAATATTATCAGAGATGATCAAAATCCTTCACATTATAGTCACAAATAACATCAAATAATAAACACAGGGTGGATAAAAAGTTGTTTCATTTAGGACAGTGTAATTTCTAACAAACAATTAAGTGGATTTCAATTATCTTTGTAACATTTTCTTTAACACTAACTATAATACCAATTGTACAGTAACTTTTGCCTTATGCTATATATAATTATTATTGTTAGATGTTCTTCACATATTCATGTACAAGAGCTTTGTCCAATAGGTTATATGGACAATATTTCAAGGAGGTTTGAAGTAATATCAATTCAGTTTTGTTCAATAAAAGCAATTTATTTATTTTTATTTTTTCATATTAAGAGTTTAAAACAGTACTGATATGAACTATTAGGAATATAAAATACAGTGAAATGATTCTACAAGTAATTTATGTCTTACATAAAATGACAGCTGTTGTTACTAACCAGCCCAAATTAATTTATTTGATTTAAAAGTCAACAGTTTACTTAGATCTAGTACATCTACATTAACATAATGTATTGGATAAAAATATTTTTTACAATAAGAATCTTATTTCCAATTCAATAAACAAATTATAAACATACCATGAGTGACATATCCAGAGCCATTTGTATCAAATAGTTGAAATGCTGCTCGATAAAGAGCATCTGGATGACATAAAAGTCCTTCAAATGCAATAAATTCCGGAAATGATATAAGGCTATAAAAACAGACAAAACTTTAAGCATTAAGCTCAATCTAAAATATATACTACAACACAACACTATTATAACATTTCCTCATTAACATACTAATGTCACAACCACAAAAAACAAATTAGATAAACCACCCAAATCACAGTTGTCCAGAATAACTAGAACAAAATATGTTAATGTGTAGCTAATGAAGTTACATTGAAATCACAAGCATTTCCAACCAAATTTGGAAATAAAAAAATAAAAAAACTGAGTAATTCAAAGTGGCATATCTATGAATCAAAATTCTTGTTCAGACAAAGTTTTAATATAATACCAAGATAGAAATTTTTTAACTAAATGACCCTAAGTAAGTTTTTTTTTTTTTACAAATAAAATCAAAAACTGGTCATTACAGGAAGTCTAAGCTTCACCAAGCAATCCTTAGATTTTCACCAATAAAGTTTTTCAATAAAAATGTGTGGATAAACCAAGCATACAGTTCCTGATCTTCGTAATAACCAGATTCAAGAACCTGGTACGTGGCAGAACTGGTGTAGTGATGAAATAAAAGACAAGAACCCGTGTAAAGGAGACAAATAAATGACCACCTTACTGACATTGAAACAGAGATGAAAAAACACAGCAGTAAGGCTACTGCACCAATGTTTATGAAGTACTGAAAATAATAATACTGTATTTACACAGAAGATGAATTAAAATGATCTTTTCTTCAAAAAGAAAAATACACTGAAGTTGTTTGACCATTTGCTTAAAAGTACATGATCATTGAAGCCAAGAAGAGATTTTAAAGCCAATCATAGTTCTTCCAAGAGAGAAATGAACCTGGTTGAAAATTCCAAAATTGCATTCACAACTCACCTTTTCTCTGCAGCTTACAAAAAAAAATTTAATCACAAAAATGCAGAAGCATCTCTGCTCCATGTGACAATTGCAAGGCAGTTTACTATACACAGGGTGAAATTACATATAAATACCTCATAAAAGAGTAGATAGCTTTCATGATTAGACCCTGTTGCATCTAGCATGTTCCCTTAAGTGAAACTGGGATGTTCCAAATTAAAAATTAGAATTTCTTTTTTTTTTTTTTTTTTTAAATACTACAGGTAAATAAATTAAGTAACATTTGTATACTATACATGCATTCTATTATACATTTTTGAACATTATTTCACACTGTCAAGGACAACTTTAAGGCCACCATGTGATTTTTTTTAACAAGTATTAATATACATGTTCTATATGCTTTTGAACAGATACAAAAAATAAATAAATAAATAAACACATAAATTACTATTACTCTACAGTGTTGCTTACTCTATGTAAAACTGTTACGTATTCAACTCATGTACTTCTCAGCACCAACAGAAATTACCAAGAAACCATTTGTTGCAATTAAACATCCAGTATTGATGCTTCTGGTTTGAAAAATAAATTACTTACTATCTATTAAAAAATAGTTTTTCATTCACTAACTACAGATACATAAGTGCATGAATTTTTGCCCAACCACAAGCTTATCAGAATACATATTAATGTTTGTCACAATCTCATAACAATTGGGCTATTAGTTGAATAACTTCTCTCATTTACTAAGCAGATTGTGAACAGTAACTGATCCTTTCTCTAGCTGTTGTCTTACTTGATGCAGACTTTACTACACATGATAAATACAGTTACTAACAAACTTTAACCAAACATAAAGTAACAGAAGTAAAGCAGTGAGTAACAAACTTGTTTATACAGACTATCTGCAAATACAAACATGAGAAAATGACACCAGGGAATGCATCATATTTTGAAAAAAGAAAAAAAAAAGAAAAAAAGGCCACAACAAACTTTACTTTATATTTAAGTTACACTACATTTTTGAAGTTAAATAATTACTTCTTAGAACAAAGTTATAAAATTTCTATATATATGAAACTTCAAGCAAACTTGATTTAGTAATTAGATTCTCAGCACTTTGTGCTATGTGCGAGACTTGTGAATACCTGGTACTTAGTTTTGATTTTTTTTTTAAAACATACATGTCTTGGTTTTATTTAAGTATTTGTGAGGAGATAATAAAAGAAATTTTTAACTGTTTAAGCCCCCCCCCCCCCAAGACATCAGACAGCCAATTGGCGTAGTGATGTTGGAGCTCATTCAGACTGTACCTTGTGTGCATACCTTCTCAACCATCAGTTTCAATGGGTCAAACCAACTGTGGGAGGGAGGGTTCTTTTGATAAGTATCTGTGCTCAACAATTTCTCTATCATCTGACACTTCAGGTCCCTTGCCAGTCATGGGAAGAGGGTGATGTGTATTCCTTTTTGTTTATTGGACACAATTAGTATGGATAGTTATATAACCATAACTTAACCATCAGACACTAGAGGCCCCTTACTTGCTGTGGGGTAGGGATATTAAAAAATAAAATTTGATGCACTATCAGATACAGAGGGCTCAGGCCATTGCACGAGTAGAAATTATGATAAATACAAACAGATATACAAGTGTGATATGGTAACACGTGTTCAAATTCTTCTCGGAGATTGTTACGTATCTACATGTAATGGGGTGTCTGCACTACACTATAGAAACACCCCTTCTCCACTTCTCATCATAGTGAGACTCATATTCTAGCCCCCAATATTTAGGTCTCAACTGGTGAGGATTCTCCATGGTTCACTATTCCAGTGGATGTGTGCTGGTAAGTGGCAAGGGTCTCCCATACTCCACTTGATGGGGGTGGATGAGGAATCGCATAGGAAAACCCAGAAAATGTGTTCAGATCTTCACCGAGTGCCTGTTGGAAAGGACTTTGACTGAGACAGTATAACAGATAACCACAAAATCCTATTTTTAAAAGACAGCAACTGCTAGCCAGAGAAGTAGGCAGATGCACAACACTGATGCTGGCTTTTTCCAAAGTAGTCCATGAAATGGATACAGTCTGGATCAGACTATTGAATGTTTTATAGTATTACCACAAGTATACTCCAGTGATCTTGTGGAACACCCAATCTCACACTGGGCATGTTTCAGACAAGGCAGATAGTATGAATGCTTTCCGTTATCTTCAATTAATGCAGATTTTGGGTAAATATACCCTGGGAGGCAATACTAGCTGCCTAGTGGGAACCAAAAATACAATGAAGGTGAGGATGGAATAAGTAAAAGAATACTCTCACCTGTTACATGTGCAGGGCCAATTGAAGAATGGTCATTGGTGGAAGTCTGTATGCTACTGGAGACAAGACAGCCAGATGGTGGAAATAGTGCAAGATGAATGAGTGTGGAGTAGTTCACATGCCAGAACACAGTAACTCTTCAAGCTGTTGAAAGGGGGTTGCCAGAGACTGTGTCAGAAGACAAATCTGGTGAGAGGAGATACAAAATTGTCGAGAACCAACCAAACCTAAGCAACAATAAAAGATCTAGAAGAGTTGGAGGATCCATCTGATAAATATGGAGTAAGAAAGGATGCTACTAGATGAAGGAAGGGGAGAATGTGGGGGAGGGGGTGGATCACCTACCTGAGTATCCAAAGTATAAGAAGGAAGAAACTGTGGGGTAGAAAATAATGTATAAGCAGTGGAAATGGATTAAAGCCGAGTTTGTAAGGTAGAAGTCAGAACAATGATGAACACTTTTAAGAAGGAGAAGGAAAAAAAAATTGTAGAGTAGTAATGGTTTTGAAAAGGATCGATAGTGAATGCATTGGTGTGGGAATATAGGACATGTGCAGTGATGAAGAGTGTAAGAGAGTGAGTGGTAAGGATAGAAGAAAACTAATGTGTAATCGAGAAAGGTGGAATGTAGTGGAAAGACCATCCTGAGATGCTACAACAGTAGCAACAGACATGCTTCAGTCACATAGCTAAGAAAAGAAAGAGGGAAGTTCATGTAAGGTAAATCAGAGAGAAATAACAAAAGGAGAAGCCAAGAGCAAAAACCCATCAAGTCCATTGGTAAACAGAATATATGAAAGAATACTAGGGATGGGAGCAAAAGAAAGCTACACAAATGTCTCAACAGGTGATTCATCAGACAATTCCACATGAAAAGAAAATATCACATGTAGGGATGGAAAAGAACATAAGAAGTGTACAAGAAGGGATGAAAATGTGGGAAGAGGGAGTAGGGAATTTTGATGCGAGTAGACGTAGAACAGGGAACCAAGGTTTGGTGGGCCAGTAGTGGGTAACTAACAGTACTCATTATTTGATGTACCAAGATAGAGCAAGAACACTAGTGTGAAGGCTGAGAGTATGCACAGCCAAAGCTCATGGGTGAGGAACAGGAGATGAGAATGGGGTGGATTTGTAGAGAGTGGTGAGGCAAACACAGCTAATAGGAATACCAAGTTGGAAAGAATTCCAGTAGAAATCATATGGTAAAGAGACCATTCTGTGGGTGGAAAACAGACCTGTCATGAGAGATGGTCCACAACAATGTCCAGAACACGAGAAGCATAGAAGGCAATCAAGTTCACCATGTTGGAATGGGCTCAAAAGAGGAGATCTAACATTTGGAAGAAGATGATATTGGAACATGTGCTCCTTGACTGTTGTTGCGTGACACTACCATAGAAATCCCCGAGTGGACCTCAACCATTAGATCCATGAGGGGGGGGGGGGAAATGGGAGCATGCCCAGTAGACTGCAAGCATTATCAAGATGCTGATGTGGGGAGAACACTCTTCAAAGGTCCAAGAATCTGAAGTGAGAGTCATACAGGGACGCTTTCCACATAGTGAGGAATGAGTGGGTAATAGAAGACAGGTTTAGGAGGAGGTACAGGAATAACAGTGGCGAATTGCAAGCAGTCCAGCCACCAGGCAAGATCCTCCAGGAAATAGGTATAAAAGAAGACCCCTGAAGACAGGGGATTTCTGGATGGGTTCCATTAGTTGCTTTGAATTTATTAGAGGTAACATGTACGAGCACAACCATGTGGAATCACAGGATCCAGAGAAACCAGAATGAATTACACTAACACATTCTTGGAGATGTCCGAAAAAACAACAACATGCTTGGTAACAAGGTTCATATTTACTGATCTATGGAAGTTTATGAATGTAACAATAAAAATGAAATGCTTTAGAATCACATCCATCCATGATATTGTCAAAAGTGTTACAAAACAAATACTTCATACCAAGGCCATACATACCCATCTTTGGAGGTATCAAGAATGTTGCCCAGAAGCTGAACAGTAGTTGGATTATAGTTTGATTCTTGGTACAAACCCAGATATCCTCGAACAAAGTCAGTAGGGGTCATATAATACTCTCCATTTTTCTCAATACTTGCATACTGCAAAAATTATGAAAACAAATAAGTATCAAGTTACATCAAAAGAAATTAGGGGTAGGAACACAAAAGCAACACAATTTTTAAGTTTGATTTGCATTAATACATCGTAACTGTATTAAATAAGTTCTTAATGTCTGTTACTGCAGAGTATAATGCTAACATTTGTATATTGAAAAACATTTTAAGATTACAGAAAAGTGTTTTTGATCATTTTCAGAGCATAAATGATCTTAATTAACCTCAAGGTTCCAATCTTTCCATCTGATCAATTTAATGCTACCATGAAAAAGTTGTAAGGCTCTCTCAAGTAAAATTCAAATGAACAAAACATCTAAACAATTTTCTTCAGGTTAAGAAATCACTTCATTAGGAAAGATTAAAAAGTTGTTTGATAGAAATAATAGTCACATTTCATGCTATAGCGTTAACACCATACAGAGTGATAATAGATATTACCTAGTATTTTTCAAGATTCAAAAGTCTTTCAAACTAAATAAATTACACATATGTAGTCTAATCTTCAAAGAATTGATTATTGCTTTTAAGATTAAATGGTTATATTTAATTAAAATAAGCAACATCATCATTCTATTCATCTTCAATATAATAACCAGTATTTTTATTTATTAGTAAAAATAAAATTTCAACTGAGCATACTCACTTTAAGAAAAACCTGTCGAAGCCTTTCTGAATCTGCTCTTCTTACAACAGAAATAACCCCCTATTAAAAAGAAATCCAACATTTAATTACACAAATAGAACACAATGGTACCTTACAAAGTACCAAGAAAATATTAATTTTTGATTACAAGCAGAACACTCAGTTATCAATTTAAAAATCAATCCACATTTAAAAGGAATACCACAACAACTCAATATCTTCTGACCTGAGCACTTACCTAAAGTATAACTTAAAGGTTAAGCAAATAAAACATGACAAATAAATGGGTTTCTTTAAAGAACCACAGACTGTATCTAAAGATTTATGTATATTTTTCTCAGGTTGTTGGCTTTAACCCTTTCACTGCAGCTTAGACATATATTTGCAAGTGCTCCCACCCCCTCACACTGCGAGTGGGGCAAATGTGTTGCCATTGTCATTCAAAATTGTCGTATGTGATGTATGGGAGTAAAATGAGTTGGAAAGTATTTATTGGCAACCCACCTAACGTTGATATATGGTTTCTCTCAATGTTTTCCACTCAGCCCTTCAGTAACCAACAAGATGCCCAATTGGAATGTACGACAACTGCATGCCAACCTTGCCTGCATTGCAAGAGCAGCAAGTAGGAACTCTAATTACTATGTAAATATGCTTGATGCACTTGACTCGGATAGCTTAGAAGATAGTGAAAGCGAGTCAAGTGGTTTTCAAATGTATGATGATAAAGAGGTAATGATAAAAGAGGATGCTACCTCTCCATCTAGTGATGACAGTCAAGACAATGAAGCTTGGATCCAGCAGAGGAAGGCGTAAACAGTGTCGACAATGGAGAAACATTTGTCCCAGTCACAGTGTGAAGGGGTGGGAGCACTGGGAAATATATGTTCCAGTTGCAGTGAATGGGTTAAAGTAGCAGTAAATAAATGACACATATGGGATAAAATAACTAATAACTACGAGAATGTAGAGGTCATTGCAACAACTAAGGTTAGCAAAACTGCTCGTGTCTGTGCGTTTAAAACAAATATTAGATGGTTTCATAAAGTTAGTATATGAAATCAAAAACAGACCCATCTAATGGTGAAGATTTTGTAACCAAAATTTTTGAACAATAAATATATTATACTTTGTTTTAAAACTTTTGGCTTGTTAAAATAGAATATTATATGTATCAATGGCAGCACAGTAATTTCAGAAAATTATAGTAATTTACATAAATGTTTAACTACTTAATATTCAAAGATTTGAAAACATCTGAAAATTACTTATGATACATACTCCATAAATTTATATTATATGCAAGTAGTATATGTACTTGTTATTGGATAGTTTGGAGTGTAAACCCTTGACAAAAAAAATTAATTTAGTTAAAACAAAAATCAACAAAATATGAAAAAAAATAGGACTTCATTTATACTACTGCAGTTACATTTCATGGTTGGAGATTCATGTTCAATAGTTACTATGGCTAAACAAATGTTTACATAGTCTACAGATGTACTGTCTCACTTTTACGACATCAGATTTAAGTAAAATATATTTCACCTCTTGGTCGATATATTTACAGACAGCAAGAAATTATGTCTTAGGTACAGTAATAAACACTCTTAATGATATGCTACATCTGGGTTTATGGCATGTATATTAATGCCCATTAGAATACTACACTATCAATCACACACGTATACTGGAATTTTTATAAAAAATTTAAAATTGTACAAGTAAGAGAATTCCAAACACAATCTAATGAATAAGGCTGTGTATACTCGTCAAAATATAAATTGTCTGAATGAATTTTGTTATTTAACTTTGCCAATATATTTGAGAGTGCAATTTAAATGTAAATTTTAGTTGTTTTGAATATAAAAACCCTGAAAATTTACTCGACCAATATAAGAACCCTGGGAATATACTAAATTAACATACAAAACTGAAGACACAACAGCCATCATCAAAATATAATAATGCTTATAAAATACTAATGATATTTTACAACAATATAAAACATTTTTCACACGTTCATGAGTGAAAAAGCAAATATCAGCAATAACTTGAGATTTTCTTTGATGATAATTTTGATAGAATCATGTTCAGTCACCTGTAAGATAGTTTTAACCATTCATAATGACAAGGAATCCACTTGAAAAAGAAAAAACACACACACATATACATACATACAGCAGATACGGCTGATATATATGTAATGAAAACTTATATTAGAAAAGCACAAAACAAATAATAAATAAGGAGGCTAAACATTGTTTTGTGCTTTTCAAACAAATTTCCAATACCCATATCAGCCATCTCGAATAAATGTATAGTTTTAACCAAAATTTTTTTAGAGGTGAATAAAATAAAATACTGTATTTTTTAGTTTCTGCTATTTCACAGTGCATGCATACAAATGCACAAATTTATTCACAGATCAAAATAAAGATAAAACTTCTTTTAACAATTATCATCAATATTAATCACCAAAATAAAAAAAAACAGAAGAAACTTGCCTTTCTTCGTATAACCGACATTTTAGTGATGTACAGAATCTTCCTTTTGAAAATACAAGTAATATTTCTTTAACTTTCTGTCAACATTAACAATGTAATGCAAAAGAAAAAAAAGAATCTGTATCTAGAAGATTCTGAATCTATTGTAAATTATCTAGGTTCTAACATCCTTATTTATTTCTACTAACTAGATAAAAGTATATGTGTACCCACATTATCTATATATTAAAGTTAACTGAACTTTTCGTGTACATGTAAATATATTTGTGCCTCATATCAGAAGACTTCCACTGAAGTTTTACATAAACACAAACAGCTAATCATGAAACAATCTGTCAACGCTACTGCTGATAACGAATGCCTTTAATCACAATTGGCCAAAGTCTAAGAATTTAGATTAAACAGTTACCAAACTATATTTAAAACAACACACTCTTCTTGGTTTGGACTAATTTTAAGTCGTTTAACGAGACTACTAGCTGGATTAATTAATTCTGCCTTACACTGTACAACTAAAAATATCTAATCATAAAAATATAATTTAAAAATGCATATTCTATACAACTATCTTCAGGTAAGTAGGATGTCTTGTAGCTGTTTTAAGGTCAGTTAAAGTTCTACAATAAATGAATAATTTTATTTACTTGCGATTATACCATCTTCAGCAACCTTTCATGTCACAGGTTTTACTATATACAGAAAAAGCACACAAATATCATATGTGATCAGTATTTATGATACCATTGGTTTGAAAAAATAGTATGTTTTTATCCGCACT